AGACACTGAAAGTCTATGCTGTGATGAGAATGTAAAATTCATGTCACCTTTCTGAAGGGCAATTTGGTAATATTGGTCAAAAGTCTTAGAAGTTTCCACATTAAGGGATTTATCTTAAGGGGAAAGACATTTATTTGTTGCATAGATATTATAGCATTTTTAATGAAAGCAAAAAATTGGGGGGAAATGAACCACCATATGAATAAGCTGAATAAATGATAATATAGCAATAGTATGCAGTCATTAAAATTATGTATTCAAAGAAGACACAAATGAATACATACAGTATGATTTCATGCATATAAAGTTCAAAAATACCGTATCTATGGCACTCTTTGCAGTGGGCATTGAATGGAAGGGGCTGAAGGGAGCCTCCCGAGATGCTAGTTATGTTCATACTTGATCTGCATGTTAGGAAGATGGGTATGTCCACTGAGTGAAAATCCATCCAGCTACACACTTACGATTTGAGTGTTTCAGTTTAATTACAAAAAAAATCTTTTAAAAACGACATAGAATATTGTTCTATAATTTTGGAAAAATGCTCATGGCATTTTATTAAGTGCAAAAAGGTGCAATGAGGTGCATGATCTCATGTTGATGAACAATGCATATTTTTGACTAAGTCTTAGGAAGTCCATCCTAAGGACAATAGTTGTCCAATAGAAAGAGGCCCTCTCATCTGCAGGGAAGACCAAGAGATGCAGCCAGTGCCCTCCACGAGGGCTCAAGGCTAAAACAGTCCCTTCCAGGTTCACTGACACCACAGTGGGGTGTGAGAGAGAAGGGGTGGCATTACGGGGATGGGTGGGTAGCCCAAGAAGCACTGCTGGCAGCTCCCGAAGAAGCATTTCCAATGCAGGGCTGCAGCCTCTGGCTGCCGGCCGGGCTACTGTCCTGGCTGTGAGGGTGGACTCTCCACCTCTTGGAGGCCCAGCTTAATTCTACTTCCCGTTGCTGCCATGGATGTCTGGTAAGCTCAGTCCTACCAGGGATGATTAAAAACCAAAACTTAAAAAAAGTCAAACCCAGTTTTCCCGCTGTTGGGAGAAGGAAGCCTGCATTAGAATTAGAGTAGAAACACAATGCCTGTGCTCTCTTTTACTCTAAAACATTAAGCCTCATGATTTTTAAATGGGCACATGACTACTTGGAAAATATGCATTTACCAGCCTGCCTTGCAGATGAAAGTGTCCTGTGCCCAATGGGATAGAAGCAGAAATGGTGAATACAACATCCAGGAAGTGATCCAAAAACGAAGAAGGATGTCTTTCTCCCATATTTCCACTTTCCTGTTTAAAGGACTTAGGACCTAATGGCTGGAGCACCAGCAGCTATTTTAGGATATGGAGAAGCCACATAAACACTGGCTTCTATTAAAGCTGCATCAAGTTAAAACAATCAGATTTGTTTTTTATTTTTCCCCCCAAGTAGTTTTTATTTATTTATTAATTTACTTAAATATCATTTATTGAATTTTTTTTTTCTGAGGAAGAAGGAGAGGGATAGAAGGTTAGAAACATAGATGAGAGAAAAACATCAATCAGCTGTCTCCTAAACACCCCCTACTAGGGATGTGCCCACAACCAAAGTATATGCCCTTGACTGGATAGAACCTGGGACCCTTCAGTCCTCAGGCCGATGCTCTATCCACTGAGCAAAACAGGTTAAGGCTCATTTTTATTTTTTTAATTTAACCAAATATGTAAATCAATAAAAAAAAATTCAATCTGAGACCCAAGAAAACACTCTAAAAATTAGACTTATTCATTGAAATACTAAGCTTTGAACAAAAATTCTCATTGCTCTGGTTTTTCCTCGAAGAAATAAATAGGAATAGTTGTTCAGTGGTTAAAAATGCACACAATAACACAAAAATACTGTACAAGTACCTCTGCTTACTACTTAAAAGTAGTTTATCAGCACCATTGCCAAGGTACACAAGGCCATCTGTGTCCCCGACACATTGAAATTCAAGCCACTGAATGATGACTTGGTCATTATGCCATTAGCATCACATACCTCATCTGGAAAGTCAGATCATTTTCCAAATGGAAGCATTACTACCGCGGCTTTGGAGAGGAATAATGGGAATTCAGGTGATAGGCAGGCTATGAAAAGCAGACAAGGGAAAAAGAAGCCATAATAGATAATGATCAAAAGATTTGAGAGAGAGAGAGAGAGAGAGAGAGAGAGAGAGAGAGAGAGAAAGAGAGAGAGAGAGAGAGAGAAAGTTCCAGAGAAAGTTGTGAAAAACTCTGGGAGCCTGTTAGTGGATATAATGAGGGCTTTTTTACGTTTTCCAGATAATTTTTCATTTTTGGTAATGACCGTGACCCTGTCTTATAGATTAGCATAGTTCTGTATCTTGTGTGAACAACCAAAGCCCACAAGACCTTTTCCAATCCTTCTGATCACCAGGCTCTAGCCTGCGAATCCCTTATCTGTCCTTTGCAAGGTGTGTCTATAAACAGTGACCGAGTTGCTTCCTTCCTGAACAAAGAAGTAATATTCACAAAACATTCAAGGGGCCAGCGAGGTCCATCCGGGCCACCGTTGGTCCACATTCCCAGAACATTCCCCCCCCACTCAGATGACTGTCAGCGTTATTGCCTACCTCCACTTACGTTTTGAAAATGAGCAAAAAATAGCACCAGCTTAGGGCGAGAGGTGGCGGAAGGAGGGAGTTGTTGCTGCTTGTTCCCAGTGACAGGGTAGCAGCTCCATGGAGTAAGGAGCAGCTGATGAGGCTCCTAATTAACCTGAAAACCCGCCTGCCACAAACAGCTACAGCAGCAACCTGCCTGCCCGCTCCATTCCAGGAATTCCAATTGCTGTTCCGGTTGTTATGGAAACTGACCACACTGCTTCTTAAAGAATTCATTATTCCAATGAGTATTTGTTGTTCTAGTCATTGTGGGGCATCTAAATGAGCGATGCAGACTCGAGGGACGAGGGATGGAGGAGCTCAGGGTGGGTGGGAAGGCTGGTGATTACAGAAGATCTCCGCTCCTTGGGGCCTGATTAGCGAGGGGAGAAGACAGTGCAAGAAAAAGATTGGCAAAAGCGAGAAGCATTCAGATAATAATGATGCAGGAGGGGTTGGAGCGGAAGGCTTGGGACGCAGTGGGAAATGGGAAAGACACATTGAGCCCGTAGGGAGAGGACTTGAAGGCCAGTCTAAGGAGTCTAGACCTTTCTGTGGACAAAGGGGAACTAATAATAGACACTTTGAAAGTGGGGGAGAGTGCTTTCAGGACATTAATTTCATCTTATGACCAACAGTGAGGATGTCACCCTACCCTCGGCTAATACTGCCGCCCCACTGAGGTTCTGGTAGAGGCCAAGACAATAATTAAAAAACTAAAATAACCCAGCCACCTTCTCATATAGAAAAAAAAACCACCCTTGTTTCACTGAAATCAACTGGCTCTTGTTTATAAAAACTCATCAAAACTGCTCTATATGACATCATGAGTATTTTCACGAGCTCAAATTGACCTGCAATAATAACACAGCCCCAAACGTCATTCTGCCATCTGTCAAGAAGTGTTTGGAACCAAAGCCTTAATTTTCAAGAGGAGCCCAGAAAGTGCCCTAGAAGAAGAACTATTATTTTTCCTCAGATCACAGTGGCTTTGTACCTTCTACTGCCCACACAATAAGCTGGAATACTTTTTTTTTCCCCCCACTAGAATAGTGACTGACCAATAAGATGACATACTGGAGAGGTTGTTTGGATAGAAGAAAAGCCTTTTGCTCAGAGCGGCAGTTCTGTAGACCTTTTGGGATCTCAAGCTTTGTCTGATGCCAAAGATTTTATATTGTGCTATTTGACCTAAAGGGCACAGGACTTAGCAACAGGGGGGCTGAAATCTTTATTATCCTAGACAGATAGAAGTGATATTTGGAAACACAGTTCAAAATTCAACAGGGAGTGCTACACAATGGGTACATCTGGAATAATATTAATGTTAGAGGTGGTAACAACCACCACAAAATATGTGGTATTATTTTTAGAAACCCTTTTGGCACCGTATTGTCAAAAATGCAGATGTCTATATGATAATAAAGGATCATTCCTTGGATTCCTGAACACCAAGTTTAAAGGGACTCTCCTCTTCCTAATTTGGCCCCTAAGATAAAAGCTAAACAGAAAGTATAATTTACTGTGTCTTGGCCTTGATGCTAAGAAAACTGAGTAAAGTTTATGGAGAAAGGAAAAATTTCTTTGGAAAATATGTTTCTCTTCAGTAAGGAGTAGAAATAATGCACTTTTACTTTCCGGAAAGGAAGCAGAATAAGTGTGGCAAAAATGCATCCAGAGCTCAGGGGTCAAGTCAACTAGAGGCAAGTAAGTCAGAAACAGAACCCAGGTTGGGTTCAAGAATTGTTGCTGCTTAACACATGTGCTTTTGGCCAGAATTCTTCCCTTCTCTCACCACTCCCACTCCCCAAATAAATCCCTTCCATCACCCCATCTCTTCCTTTAGTTCTCTGCTTAAATGTCACTTCCAAGGGAAACCTTCCCTAATTACCCTGTATAAAGTAAGAACCCAATTCTACCCCAAACCCTCCATATAAGTTGTTCTATTTATTTCAGCTCTTTATAGCCTTTCTAATTTTGTGATAAAACTTTGATTAGTTCTTCTTTTTCATCTAAGATGGAAGCTCTGAGATCCCTGTTCACTGCCAAGCCTGAGTCCAACACCCAGTAAGGATTTGGTGGGTGACTAAATGTGAGAGACAGTCCAGGGTAACAACCCTCACAAATGATGCTGAAGTGGGAAGGACCATTGAGAACCCTACGTTGTCTGAAAAAGATACAAAACCAAAAGCAATATAAAACGGTGCAAACGGATGCAGCAATCTGAAAACCTCTCGGTGTTATCTTAACTAAAAATGGGGCGAGACTTCAGAGGGGAGAAATGAATAGCCTTTTCCCCTACCAAGTTGTAATTATTAGCAATTGCATTAGAAAATTGAGGGCTGTTACTCACCAATCATGAAAATAATCTTACACTTCCTCAAATCTTCCATGAAACCTGTAAAGTAAGAATAATTGAAGTTATTGGCAGGAAGGACTGTATTGAAACCCTGGATTTGCTCATTGTACGTAAAAACCAAAATCTTTTTACTTGATAAGAAGCTTGAAGTTGAGTAAGTGTGTTAATAGTCCATAATAAAACAGCACCAGTGACCATTACAGCCTATTCCTAGACTCAGGTAACATATTGTCATTTAAACACAAGTGATCACCTTTACGTAGTGAAACTGATAAGCCATTAAATATAATAGCATTAACTGCAAATAAAGACAATTTTTAAAAAATTACTTAACAATTTCTTTAGTGTCTCAGTTGTGAGTCAAATCATATTTTTTAACATTTACTAATCTCTCTTTGAAAAAGACAGTCTGGAAGACAATCATTTACAAATAGTTCCTATGTACAGAAAAATAATGCTATTTTCCATTTAAGGTAGTGATATAAATTCTATTTTTAAAATAAACATATATAAATAATAATAGTGAGTCAATTTAATGAAAAGTATTATATAAATAATATATCCTATATAATGAAGATAAAATGAGCAAATGGTTGTTATGCTGTGAAGCGTAACAACCGACTATGTAACAACATGGATCAGTAGGAGGGTGGGGCAGTGAGCTACAAGTGGGCAGCGGAGAGCTATAGGCGGGGACAGGGCAGCAAGCTATGAGGGGGTTTGGAGCGAGGGGAGGGGGGAGAGCTATATGAGAGCAAGACAGCAGGCCAAGAGCTACTGGAGGGCACTGGTTCTACTGGTGCAGGAGTTCGTGTGCAGGGCTACTAGTAGTATAATAAACAGTAAAGAGATAAAGCAAAAATCACAAAGGTGACAAGTAAAGACTGAATTTTGGGAACCACTGCTTTAAGGCAAAGATATGATCAGACATTTTGTCGAAGTGTGAAACCCTCTAGAGTCTGTGGAGCCCTAACAGATGCTCAGTTGTCACGTGCTGTAGTAGGCAGTCAGGAGGGATGGATAGACATGAGCTCCATTTTTCATCCTGCTGTCACCTGACTTGATTTTGGCAAATGACTTCTTTTCCTTGCACCTCAGTTTCCCCATTTGTAAAATACAGATGGTCTCTAATTGGTTCAAATACCCATGGCCTGTAAATGAATAGGCCACATGAGGAAATGGCCCCCTTTGTCCCTGGGCCATAATTAGGATGCTGTATGTTTAAGACATCTTCCTAAGGTAAACCAAAATTCTAAGAGACCGTGGGTGAGAGTGAGGTCCCCTGAAGAGATGACCACAACCCAAAACCGGGACTGGGAATGACCCTGGGAGTTCCAGTCTCAAGGCTCAGAAAATGCCAATGGTGACTGCTTGAGTCTGGAAGCAGAGGTGCCTTGAACTAAAACCGTGTTTAGAGTGAGGATCTGAGAATAGAGACAACTGCAGTTCTACCCAAGACTGCTTCAGAGAGGAGCAGAGACAAATATTGCACCCTTGCTTTAGGGCTGCCGGGCCTCATTGATGAAGATTAGACTTTACATGCAGTCAGGAGTTGAACCTGATGCCACAGGATGAGAGTTAGCAGGCCACTTACTCCACTGTGCCAGGGCCGGGGCAGCCTTCTGCCCTGGACCTAAAGCTTTTGGGCAGGCCAAGAGCACGGGTGTGGGCTTGTTCAGGATGCTATGAAGTTCAGAGTGGGATTCAGTAGAAGCCACTTTGGGAGACATTCCTCCGACCTAAAGGCCATCCTGGGCAAATGAGGATGGCAAAAGTTCAAAATGCAGGCCTTCGCAGAGTCAGACAAAGTCACCATGTTCAAGTTCTTCTCGGACTGGCTCATTTCTGAGCAGCTTAGTCTCACACCCTTGGGGATGGGGGCGGGGATGGCAGGCTGATTCCACAAATAAGAACTTCCAGAAAGGTTTCTTTTTTGTGCTTAGGCAAAGGCCCGGCATAGGTTCTAAACCAGTGGGTGGGTGTGGCGTGTTGTGGACTATGGTATCAAGAGTTCACATTCAAAGTCATGTTTACAGAGCACCAGGCTAGACAAAAAAAACAACATGAAGCTGAATGCTTCCCTCCGCTGGACAGATGTGGCTACAGATAGAGGAGGAGAAGACATTTTGAATACTTTATTATTCTTGTGAACCCTATTGCTAAGGAAGATACTTTACAAATTGCAAGCTACATAGACTAGACAGTAATATCTTGCAATGTAGGATATCGTGATCTGTTCCATTTCACGAGAAGTTTGCATGCAGTTTTAAAGCAAAGACACTAACGTTCAAGGTATCGGTGTATTTGTTGGAGCTCCAGGCCCTGGGGCAGCCCTCTCAGCGGGGAGAGCCCAGAGAAGGGGGGCAGGATGGAGCCAATCTTGAGTTCCTAGTCTGGTTGGAGCTCCAGTCTCTTTTCCTGGTTCAGAAACAACTGCTTTTGCTCATCCTATGGGTGTGAGTTGACTAAAGGGACAGGGAGAATGCAATTACCGGAGAGAGAGGAGAAGGTTTTTATCTCTCATCTTGGTGACAAAGTTACAAGTTTTACACTTTAAATAAACTGATAGGACTCTGGTTTATACTTCGTGCCTTATGTAGATGCTCAGTACTTTGGAAAGTTAGGTTGTTTTTCTGAGTTATGAAACTTACTTTTAGTGGAATCGGGGTAGTTCATTTATATACTCAATTCTACCTTTTTGCAGGAGTCCACTAGGAGCTGAGTGAAAGGTCTAACAATGTGTGTGTGTGGGGGGGGGGGGTAGAGCAGGAGGGAGGGAGGGAGAGGAGGAGAGAGGAAGGGAAAGAAAGGGAGAGAATGGACATGAAGAATTGGGTTGGGGATAGAAGGGGAACAAGGTAGGGGAGAAAGAGCTGGAAGCAGAGGAAAAAGTGAATTTGGGATCTTTGAAATAATTTCTGTTTTGTACAGAAGGATGATTTTTGTTGTTGTTTTTACACAGAGCTGCCCCAGGCTCTTCACAGAGTAGCCCATGGAGACTGGCAGAGCCCTGTGTTATCTGGAGCTTTCTATTCAAGGCAAAAACACAGAGGGCCATCTCATGTCCTCTGGACTTCCAGTTAACTTTATGAAGCTGAGCATCTTTTAATTTATTTGCAATCTAAGAAAGTGGCTCTGGTTATTATTTTATTAATATTATTATTGGCATAGCTGTATCCTATTACAGTTTTTAAAAAGTTATTTTTTAAAATTAATAATGGTGCATTCATGTAATGTAGTCATTACAAATGAAGGTTATAGGGAGTTTTTAATGACATGGGAACATGTGCTTATGATATACACAAGAATTGGAGGTAATATTTGTATATACACGTGTATTCGCAACTCTGTGAAAAATAGGTAGACTAGAATAAACCACACTCTGGAATGAATATACTAGAAATGTTAACTATGATTACTTCGAGTCCATAAGGTTTTAGATGATTCTATATTTCTACTTTAAAAAGTTTTCCATAATAAATGTGTTAATTTTATAACCGGGAAAAAAGGGCAACTTTATTAGGCAATCAATCAATCCCTATCCAGCTGGGTCTGGGTTCATTATTTGCACTTGACTTGTGTTTGTGTGCCTTTCCCCATGAGCCCCCACGATGCCATTTGGTGACTGAGATTTTCACATACTGCTATTGCCATCATCAAACGACACTTCATCGATCACCTCATGTTCACCTCAGGCTCGTGGATCAGCGCAGGATTAGAGTTGGGGCTATTTAGAAAGCCAACTCTCTTGTATGTATTCATAGTCAATACAAACCTATTTCCATGGACTATACTGGTAACATTTATTTTACTTAGGGCAAGCATGAACCTTATCATTTTTAACCATCTCAAGTTCAGATCATGTAATCTATTTTCAGTTCCACGTGTAGCTAAATTGTGGTTGGATTTTTTTTAAAGTTTTTTTTTTTGCAAGACTTTTTAATGACAAAAATTATAAAGCAGGATAATTTGGGTGTTTCTTAGTTTGCACCCCAATGATGCACTGCAGAATAGTAACTACTCTCCAGAAAAATGACTTGTGTGTTCAAAAACTGAGGAACGTTTTATTAACGTTAGCTAGCTCTCTTTGCTGCAGACCTACGGGAGCCTGCTGTGCGGGTCTATATGCAACTCTTACAAAGGCGACTGAGTGCTAAGCATTTCCCGAGCATGTTTTCCCGGACCATCCTCTTTTCCCGGGGTGTCTCGGGGCCGTGTTCTCTGGGCTGGAGGAAGTGCTTCTCTAAGGCAGCCCTTTGCTTCTTCCCATGGACCCAGAGGGGAGCAGTGCACAGAGTTCCCCTCTTACTGTGTTCTCTGGCTAAGGGAAAAGTGCATGTTGCTGGTAGTTTATTATCTCTCCGCTGGTGATTAACAAAAAAGACACGTTCTAAGCCACTCAAGTGACAAGCCTGCTCAGTAAAGAAAACTCACCTCCCATGGGGTGCTCTCCAAACACATTCAACTGGTCATCGCCCTGTTCATAAAAAAATCAAAACATTAGATGATAAGACTAGCAGATATTGTATTAAACTTCTTTTTTTTTTTTATGTGTTAAACTTCTTGCCAATATTAACATGCTTAACCTTCCTAACCACTCTACGAGGGAGGCCTGTTATCACCTACCTTTTACAGATGAAGAAACTCAGAGTTTGAGAAGTTAACTGTGCAAGGCCACAGAGTGGCGAGGAGCAAGCAAGCCCAGATCTCCTTGGAGTTTGTCTTTTTTCTTAACCTGTTCAACATCCTGCCTCATGTTCTTGGTGCACAACCTATTTGTGGTCAGAAAAGCTGATTTCAAGAAGGCAAAACCTCCCAGGACCGGAAACTCAGATAGGGTAGTCACAGCTGGTTCACGAACAACTCTGCAACTTAAAGCTGGCCTCGGCCACCTTTCTGTAAAGGGCCAGGCAGTAAATACTGTCAGCCTTCTGAGCCATATGGTCTCTGCAGTTGTTAAATATGGACCAAACCTTACCAACCCCTGAAATCAAAAGCATGAAATAAGGCAAGTTGGGACAGTCAACTTTGATTGATGTCTGCCTTTTAAATTTCCATATTATTTTTTTTAACCAGACAACTACCCCATTTTCCTTATAGAAGAACCAATGGTGATTGGAAAAAGTCCTGAAAAAAATTTATAAAAAGGCATTTGGTGAGAATTTTCAATCCCACCTATGTCTCCATCCATCCTGTCTACTCACTTCCTCATTCCTTATGGGTAACTACTTATAGAAGTTTACTTTATTTTTTTGTATCTTCCCAGATACACAGAAAAACTACTTTCAGATATCCATGGATACACTTAATTATAAATATATAATCTTACTACCTCCACTTTGCACATAGAAAGAAGCATGTCTATATATACATGCATATGTGTTTATAATGACATACTAATCTATGCTACTCTTCCCCTTGCTTTTAGAAAATATTTTTTTATTGATGGGAGAGGGAGAGAGAAAGAGATAGAAACACCAATAATGAGAGTGAATCATTGATCGGTTGCCTCCTGCATGCCACACACTGGGGAGCGAGCCCACAACCCAGGCATGTGCCCTGCCCTAGGAATCAAACTGTGACCTCCTCATTCATAGGTCAATGCTCAACCACTGAGCCACACCGGTTGGGCTCCCCTTGCTTTTTTACATATCGATATTTCCCGGAGAACTTTCCATATTAGCAAAGAATGTTCTCTGTTGTACAGTATTCTATTGTATGGATGGTCCCATGTTGTCCCTTTATGATGGACCATTGTATTGTTTTCAATCTTGGACTATATTTAAAACATTAGTATAATAAATAACTTTATATATAAGTCATTTCATACACCTACAGCCGGAGGATAAATTCCCAGAGAAGGGGTTGTGTAACCAAAGAGTAAATGTATTTATAATTTTGATAGATTTTGCTAAATTGCTCTTGCTACTGAGGTTGTGCCACTTTGCAGGGACAGCCTCGGCCTCTGATTTGCTTTGATGCAGGGCTCGGTTAAATGAGGATGCCTGGTTGCGCTAATGCTCCCTTGAAAGGGCTTTGTCTGAGAACAGAGCCTTGCCTTCCCCTTTTAGAGCATCTGCCTTCGGGGCAGCTCTCCTGCTTGTCTTCTTAGATTTGCCTGTGTATCCGGAGCAATTCCAGGTGGACAAGAGTGCGTAATGGAGTGGCCATTCAGGGGCATATCTACATTAATTAACTCTCTTCTCTGAGTAGAAAGGAGTTAGATTATTCCTTAGGAGTCTACCCCCCTCCCCTGCCCCCGCTTCTCTTGTTAAAATCATCTCACTTTGGAGCTGGTAGTTATAGGTCAATCATCAAAAATCTACCCTACCATCCACCTCTCCCATTTACACATGAGAAAAAGATGGTTAGGAGGTCATGTGAGGGCCCATAATCATGTCATCATATCTTTAGCGAAGCCATGGTTGGGATGAGAACCACATGTCTCACCATGTAGCAAGGCTCCTAGAAATTTAGTCCCACCAGCTCAGCTACCACAATGGATCTGTTAGTGTCCTGCGCTCACCTGGCTTGTACAACCATCTCCCAGCTGCTGCTAAGGGCTCATCAGACCCTGGCCCCTTCCTCAGCCTGGGTGACTCTGGTGTACGTTGTGTCTCAGTGTTTCCTTCAAGATCAGGCTGACCCTATCAGCAGACCAGCAGGACTACATCTTTGCTCAGCTACTATCCCTGCCCTATCCTAAGAGCACTCCCTAATAACACACCTGCAAGAATCCCCAGCTGAGGCTCTGCTCCTAGGGACCTATTTGAAGCCATTCATGTCTGCCCTCAATGCAGCTACATGTATAGAGACCTTTAAATAAATAGCCTTTGCTGGAAAAGGACTGTTCAATCTGACTCGGCTTATTGCTTCTCAAACAGCTACCAAATCTATCCAGGTAATGTTAAGAGGAAACCACTGAGTCCTGTCCCTCCGTGTTAAATATTATTGTTAAGTTATCAGACTCACACCCACCTGACAGGATAACTGTAATCTTTCTTGCACCTGGTTACCATGTTTTGCGAGTTTGAGCAGGGTTAATAATCTATCTCAATCTATAAAACAATGCATCATGTTTAAATGGCCTATCAGACCTTTGTTTGGCTGCTTTGAGTCTGACCTGTTTTTATCCACAGCCTTCTGTGCTGCTGGCCCAAATGCTGTAAGTAAGCCCTTGTTTTGTTTACATGAATGCATTGATAGTGAGCAGGTTCCTATCATCGGCTCTACACCAGAAACGTGACGCACGGCGTTGACTGACACAAAAGCCCAGGTGAACGGGATGTTTGACTGGAGGGTGTCATTTTTTAGTGACATTCAGAATCAACCTCATAATTCCAATGTGACTCTTCTGCAAATAAAACTGTTCTGGCATCTTACACACACACACACACACACACACACACACACACACACACACACACACAACACACACCATACACAACAACCAATAAAAAGCAAAAGATGCTCTACAGCCCCTGGAGGCTCTTTCTGTTCAAATGCTAGATGTATTCTGCATGGAAGGCATTGATTTTGGAATGTCAATTATATAAGGAGCTGTTATATAGGCTTATTCAAAAAATATCTGACACGGTGTTTATATCCAGTTGCATTGTAGCGGCATCTTCAGCGAGATGCATTTTGGGAAAACACACCCCACTGATGACCAAGTGCCACCCTGTGTACATGTGGGTGCTTCTTTGTGTCACAGCCTTTTACTGTGTTGCTGCTACATCCAGTCAGCACATTGTCACCTGTCAGTCTGAATTGTGCAGTCAGGCTCTGTGATTACAATGAGACACTGATGACTTGGGAGGCATGGTGCAGGCTGCATATCTGAACAAACTGACCAAGAGGGATGGTACAAATGTAGGCACAGATTTTATGTGAGTGCCACTTATGATTCATGAGCAAGGAGCCAAGACAGCCAGCAATGATTAATACTGGTGAAGGTGGGATGGCTGCAGCCAGATCACTAGCGCGCGGGCGCGCGCACACACACACACACACACACACACACACACACACACTCAGGTGGCCACATCTTTTGTGCCACATATGTGATAATACGTTGGTGATGGATGGGAGGAAAAACCTAGAATCCTGCTGAAATGCCCTATGTAGAGCCTCAAGGTGAGGTTCAGGGTTTAGGGGGAAACTGGATTTGGGCTACTGGTTTGTTTTGGTCTCTGTCCCTTATTCTCCAGTCAAGCCAGAGCAATAAGGAGAGCAAGGGCTCCTTGCATTCAGCTTTATTTCCCCCTGTGGATGTGGAGGCAAGAAGCTGCTTTGCCAGGCTGGATGATGGTGCTATTTATAGAAAGAATGTTAGGAGGTGTGTGTGTTTCCCTTCAGGATCAGAGCTCTGGTATCACTGTGAAGTGCACGAGGTCAGAGTGTGGTGAGCGACTACGTGGCACAAGTAAAAAGAATACCCATGGTGCCATCTTGAGGCAGGGGATGTGGCAGAACTGCTGCAAGGAACCGTCAGGAAGATAGTAAGACCACCCTCCATACGGGATTTATGGCTTAAAACCAGCAGAGACCAGCTAGATCCAACATGGAGACTGCTGTCACCTAAGGGTAACCCCTAGCATCGTTGTATGCTCATTGCAATAAACAGAAAGCCCATATACGGACACAAAATGACTGTGGGAGCTCCTCTAAGAAATCTTCTCCCCCTTTCCCCCCCAAAAAAGGTCCTGATTACTCCTCCCCCTCATTGAATATCCCTCCCCCCCCCCCCCCCCCCCCCCCGTTAGATGATCCTCAACAAAGGAAGCAAGTGTCACTAAAGGTGAGCTGCTGTGTGTGACGTAGCACATTCTCTGTCTTAGTGCTTCACTTTCCCTTAAAGCTCTACGCTGGCTCATGTTCGAATTCTTTCCTATGCGTGAAGCCGAGAGCCCTCCATGGGCCCTGGAACACCTGCCTCAATGTGAATGGAGGCAAAGTGGGCTCATTTGCTAAGAGAGGGACGGAAGTTGGATCCTGGCGGTTGGAAAGAGCAGTTCCCAGGTTTTGCTGGTGAGCTGTTAATGAAGTTTTGAAATTTCTTGGCTCATCAGCAGGTTATTGGAAAACGGAAACATAACTACATTTTATCAGCAGGGAGAAGGAAGACTGGTCCTTGAGAAATGTTCTGACTGTTCATAAAACATTTTTTTACTAAAGCCTGTTTTCACTTAAAGCAACGGGTAATTTGGGGAAAAAAAAGTATGGGAAGTGGTATGTAATTTACTTATACTCAAGAATTTATTTTACCGTAAGTACCAGTTCTCTTTCACTGAAGTGTACACCATTAGAGGCCTGCTTGCTGTGGAAGTACTTGTATAATCGAGTAAGCAGGGAGGAAAAATATAGGGGATGCCAGGCGAACCTTTTCTCAGACTTATTAAATTGCAGGTTCTCTGCGTGAACTGCTCTAAAATAGTGGTTCACAGATCTAGTTCTCTAGGGGGAAGGATATCTTTC